TGGGTCATGGACAGGTGCGTCCCCAAATTAGTAAGATGGCGGCAATTGCGACTTGTCCGAGGCCCAAGACCAAAAAGGAGGTGAGGCAGTTCCTGGGGCTGGCAGGATATTATAGGAGGTTTATCCCTAATTATTCGGACCTTACCAGCCCGCTGACTGACCTCACCAAAAAGGAAGTTCCAGATCCGGTCCAGTGTACGGAGATGTGTCAGCAGGCTTTCACCCAGGTAAAGGCTGCTCTGTGTGGCGGGCCGTTGTTACAATCTCCTGACTTTTCTCTCCCCTTCTTGTTGCAGACAGACGCGTCGGACAGGGGGCTTGGAGCCGTCCTGGCCCAGGAGATAGAGGGTGAGGAACGGCCGGTGCTGTACATCAGTCGGAAGCTCTGTAAGAGAGAGGCGATGTACAGCACCATTGAAAAGGAGTGCTTGGCGATCCGGTGGGCTGTTCTCACCCTCCGCTATTATCTCCTGGGACGGGAATTCACTCTCTGTTCGGACCACGCGCCCCTGCAGTGGCTCCACCGCATGAAGGATACCAACGCGCGGATCACCCGTTGGTATCTGGCATTACAACCCTTTAAATTCAATGTGGTCCACAGGCCGGGTGCATAGATAGCTGTTTGAGTTATTAAATAAACATCCACAAGTCTCCAAACGCCAACCTTGTTCACTTCCTTCCTTCCTTACTACGAACCTTGTTACAACTCGATAATGTCAAATCGCACATCGTTAAAACGACAATTACGATATTATCGCAGACAATATATATCGCACACCCCTAGTCCTGACCGATGTGCTGTAATTACCACACAGACCAGCTGTTAATCACCTGTCCGTCACGGACTACTGACTTCACTTTCTGTGGATTTTTTTTTCCTGCGACTAATAAAATTGTGATCGACTAAGTCTCTATTAGGGGCAGCCCTAATAAATGATGATTTGCACAGATATCTGTTCATCTGAGACACTGATGATACACTGAACATGAAGAGTTCAGCTACATGAAAAGATCAAACAGAGTCATAATTCCTGACTCTGGTGTGTTTTATCTCCATCAGATTCCCATCAGCTCACTCTGGATCTGAACACAGTGAATAAATACCTCCTTCTGTCTGAGAGAAACAGAGTGATTACTAACACTGGCACAGATCAGCCATATCCTGATCATCCAGACAGATTTGATGAGTATTATCAGGTGTTGTGTAGAGAGAGTGTGTGTGGACGCTGTTACTGGGAGCTGCAGTGGAGTGGAGATTATGTGTGTATATCAGTGTCATATAAGAGCATCAGCAGGAAGGGAGATGGTGATGAGTGTTTCTTTGGATCTAATGATCAGTCCTGGAGTTTGTTCTGCTCTCGCTGCAGTTGCTCATTCACACACAATAACATAGAGACTGATCTCCCTGTGAAGCACATCATCAGGAGAATAGGAGTGTATGTGGATCACAGTGCAGGAACTCTGTCCTTCTACAGCGTCTCTGACACAATGAGCCTCATCCACACAGTCCAGACCACATTCACTCAGCCGCTCTATCCTGGGTTTTGGGTTGATTATAAATCATCAGTGAAACTGTGTTGATGGATCTGAATAGACTGATGAGAGATTCTACCCATAATGCTTTGAGCTGCATGATGAATCAGTAACAGTGAGATGTTATAAGCTGTGTCCGAAACCGCTCATTCGTTCACTAATAGTGTATGGCAGTTGAGTGCACTATATCAGAAAGGAGTGAATGAAATAAGTGAACGGATTCGGACGGTGACGTATACACTGCGTGTGAGACTTGGAGCAGTTGCAAAAACATCTTCGTCACATATGTACTTTTATAATACATGTACCTTATTTTAGAAAATAATATTAATATCAATAAAACTCAAAATGACTTTATATTGTAATTATACATACCTCCGCGTCAGCTTTGAGGTTTCATCGATGGTATATTATTAATTTGTTTTGTAATGCTTTTATGTTCATAATCATATTAAAATACAGAGAACAAAAATAAACACACATTAACACGTTCATAATTTGATGTATTTATTATTTTTAGTATCTTGAAACTCTCCCGAGTAGCGTTTTGAGCTCAGATAAGATAATGTCGTAGAGCGCCCTCAGGCGACCGTTAATTTTACATGAGACTGATTAACGAACATTTTTAATTATCCACCAAATTATCATCATTTTTGTAAGTTAACAATCAACGGCGTCACCTCAGTAAATTAGTAAAATATTAAACTGAGTTATTGCCTACATAATATATTTTAATATAAATAATGTATGAAATAAACGTTAAAGCAGAAATAAGACAGATGTAAACAGCATCTCTCATTCAAACTCGCTTCTGCTCGCTCTTCCAGCTCGGCGGTTCTCCGCATTGGATTGTGGGAAATAGTGCTTCAGTGAGTGTACATCGGTTGTACACTCGAAATCAGAATGCATTGTGGGTAAAAAGTACAGCGGTTTTGCCATTTTGGGCCCCAATGATGGTTTTTGTAAGAAAAATATCCATATTCAAAACGTAATAATCACTTTAATGTAGCTTGCGCTCACAGTTGTTGAAGGTCCTTTTACTCCCATTACAGTTTTCTCAGGTGTTGCAGCCAATGCGTGATCAAAGTGCCCAGCTTCAGTTCTAAGTTTTGGCACAGGGGCTTTGTTTGTGTAAGGACCTCCCCCAACATGGTAACAGAAGTCACACCCATAAAATCCATTGAACTGTTTAGTGTTCCTTAGAAGTGGGCGGGCGACTGAATCAGAACTACATATAAGACCAAAAACCTTGGAAGTGTGCTCTACGTTTGCTAAGTCTTTCCATTTAATACCATATTTTTGTAGAACTGACAGTTCATCTACGAATGGCCTCAAAAATGTGAGCATGTAGGGCTTTTTTTCCCCAAACCAAAGACATGGAAGACAGATATTTGCCTTGCGTTCTCTAGGCTCGAGCTCTATAACCTGGCACTGTATGGGCGAGATTTGGTACTTGGAGCTCCTGAACAGTGGGATTCCATCACAGTTCCAAATTAAAGATATGTCATCCTCACACATTGCACCAGATTCCTTACGTTTCTGATACTCTTCTCCACACTGGATGTCTGAAATGGTATCTGAAATCAGCCAATCTTTTTGAAAACTTGTTTGTTTTTCCTCAAGCAATGTTTTGATCTGTGAGGCCAAACTAAGAACCAGGAAAAAGCATCCACTTTTAAGACAGCTATCTGAATCAGTTACTGTAAGACAAATGTCACACTGTAGCTCACCAGTATTTCTCCCTAAGTAGTTTTCACATGCTGGACAGTAGAAATGGGGTTCATAATTTCCATACTGACCATAAGCTTTTCGGAAAAGATATGTGGTTACTGGTAGCATGCCTGGAAAATGCTCATTGAAAATTGTCAATAGATGGTAGAAAGTCATATACACCTAGGATCGCCTGAGGAACAATTCCACTCATCATCTAGATCGCCTGAGGAACAATTCCACTCATTCTCTACTATAGGAGAGGAAGATTTGTATAAACTTGTTAAATCATCTAAACCAACAACATGTATGTTTTTTTTTTTTGGTTTGGCTTAGTGTTATGTTAGAATCATTATTATACTCATACCGTTTGTTCTTTTAATATTTTGAATTGTTTTTAGCTTTATTTTTTTGTTTTCATTTAAATGTTTAGTTTTGAAATGTTGTATGCATTTGTCATTTTTATTTAATTTATTTTATTTTCTTAAATGTGTATATATATAGTATTTATAGAGTTTTAGCTTTTAGTTTTAATTACATTTTCTTATTTGTAAGTCGCTTTGGATAAAAGCGTCTGCTAAATGACTAAAAGTAAAGTAAAGTAAAAGTGTATTTCCCATTCATTTCCTATGGGTGCCCATTTCTGGGCACAAATGACAAATTAAGAAGTTTTTTTTTTTCAACCACATAACTTTGTTAACTTAACTTTGTTGTTTGTGTGTTCAGGTGGCAAACTTACGAAAAGTAGTCAAGTCTTGAACCTCTCAGATTAAGGAAACTATTAAAAAAAAAAAAAAAAAAATTTTGCCCAAGTTTGTCCCGAATGACGATTGAGGGTTAAACCTTTTTGTCATCCTAAAAAACAGAGCGCTGCCTAATGGAGTGCATAGATCAGTGCTTCTGAGAGTTTCAACAGAGTTTCAGATATTGGGGGACAGATTGGCCATTTCTAATTATTGGGGGGGACTTGTCCCCTCAATGTCTCTGGTGGTTACGGCCCTGATATATATATATATGAAGAGTCCAGATGCAAAAACCTCTAAATGCCGTCTGAACTTTTTTTCTAAAATGAGCATTTTTATTACATACATACATACGTATATTAAATATTGCATAAATAAAAATATATTGCATAAAGTTTTCTGTTAAGGTTAGGTTATACTATTTACTAGATGTAAATAGACTAGATTTCTGCAGGTCTCCACCAGGGCTGTTCCCCTAAATTTGGAATCATATCACACCAAGCAATTTTGGGTGAAATGTGCAGTTTGTCCTGTCACCAGCTGCTAAATACAAACTGCTTTCGCTGGCTGGCACAGAGACACAAACATTCTAACAGATCCTAACAAACCATACATCAATGGAAAGATTATTTATTCAGCTTTCAGATGATGCATAAATCTCAATTTAAAAAAATGTACCCTTATGACTGGTTTTGTGCTCCAGGGTCACAAATATGTATAATTGTTATTATTGTAGAAGTAATACTGAATGGATGAGTTGATGCGGTGTTTATGTGTCATGTCTGCAGTGAATATCTGCGTCAGTGGAGATGACGGGGTGTTTGAGTCTGTGTTGATGTGTTTGTGAGTGATGATGATGATGATATGAAGGTGGGATGTCTGCGTTAAAGAGTCTGGTTCCTGTGCGTTTCCTCACGCTCGCCGCTCATCTGGGGCAAGTTCAAGCTCAAACCGGTGCGCAACGTTTTGCTACGGTTTCCGGTCTGAACGGCATGTTTCCTGGAAACGGTGTGCAACGGGGTTTGAGATGCGTTTTCTCTTGTTTGGTGGGTGTGTCAAACATGTCAGCCCAATCAGCAGCAGCATGTATATAAACCACGCGGTATCTTAGTGTTGCCAGAATTCTGTGCATTGCATTAAACACATTTAACCACCAAATAATCATAATTGTGATTTAAGAAAATATTAATATATTATTTGAAGTATTTATACATGATGGTAATATCTGTTGTACTGCCGATTTAAATGAAAAACAACAACAACATTGTACTACATTGATAAGAATCTAATTAATCACCTTTGAGAATAACGAGAATTACTAAACTCAGCCTATAATAATAATGTTACAATGCAAAAAAGTCTTTATTTTCTTCATGCATAATTATTTTTAGGCCTACATCTGTTTATTTTTTATTTGTGACCCAAGCATGTTCTATGAGATTCATGCGGATCTGAATTATTGATGGAATCTGATGTACATCCCACAGGTGTGTGTTTCGGCGAGCACAGAGGAAAACCTGCCTCAGGCCTTATGCTTCCTCTCATTAATTAATATTAACTGTGATTATTAAAGGACTAGCTCCTCTTCTATTGATTACAGTGACTAAACTAATGATGGAGTCTGAAGAGGAACAGTCACATAAACTGTACAAAATCAGTTTTATAATACATCGTAAATAAAGATTATTGGAGATTATTTCAAAATAATTCATGTTTACTTAACATTTCTATGTAATGCTTTGTGAAACGCACTGCATTTTTCTGAGTGGAAAAAAACAATTCTAAACCACATTTTTTTCCACATCAGCTGCAATGATAACAAACATACAATTCCTTTTTGTCAAAAATGGCGTTTATTTAAAAAAAAGAACAAGAACAGATGAAAAAGTCACAATGTTAGCTGTGCTGTTTCTGCACAAACAGTGAGATATAAAATAACAGAGCTTTAAAGTCAGCATGAAACAGCAGCTAAACACATTCAAGCTCGTTTCCAGCACAGAATAAAACATGAAGTATAGATATCAAGTTATCATCTCACAATTACGAGAGGATTCTGACTTTTGAGTTTATACCTCACACTTATGAGAGAAATGTCTGAATTGTGAGAAGAAGTTGCAATTACCTTTTTAGTTTTTTTATTCTGTTGTAAACTCACAATTCAGAGCAAAAAAGTCAGAACTGTGAGATAAAAGTCACAATTACTTTATTTTTAAACTCTGTGACAAACAGGCTTCTGTACTAATGTGTAACAGAATGCATCATGAAACAAGACTTGATTTGCTCCAACAGGAACTGATTGATTGGATGAAAGGTGTTTCTACTTGGAAAAAATAGGACTTTTCATGTTGACTTTAAACTCTCGTCGCACACTGAGCGCCTGGAAGAGATTTATAGACACTGATGATCCTGTCTTTATTTTTGAATATGTCTAAAACAAACATGATCTGCGTTTCATTTGCATGTTGATACTCCGAGTTTTTCTGCATTTGTGTCCCTGGAGCACAAATCCAGTCATAAGGTCAGTTTTTTTAAATTGAGATTTATGCATCATCTGAAGCTGAATAAATAATCTTTCCATTGATGTATGGTTTGTTAGGATAGGACAATATTTGGCCGAGATACAACTATTTGAAAATCTGGAATCTGAGGGTGCAAAAAAATCTAAATATTGAGAAAATCATCTTTAAAGTTGTTCAAATGAAGTTCTTAGCAATGCATATTACTAATCAAAAATTAAGTTTTGATATATTTACGGTAGGAGATTTACAAAATATCTTCATGAAACATGATCTTTACTTAATATCCTAATGATTTTTGGCATAAAAGAAAAATGTATAATTTTGACCCATACAATGTATTGTTGGCTATTGCTACAAATATACCCCAGCGACTTAACACTGCTTTTGTGCTCCAGGGTCACATTTGTGGTTAAAAGAAACGTTTGCGGGAAATGTCTGGGTTTCTCAAGATGCCAAAAGCATCGCTACGCATTAAAAACAAACCAACACAATCATCCAAAACGACATAATGAGCGTCAGTCAATGTCACGTTTAATACGAGAACAAACAAATAAACTCTGAATAAAAAAAGAAAGGAAGAGCAAAGCCGGTTTTTCCCGAGTAACTGGGAAAACAGGGACAAAGATCGAGCAGCAGAGAAACAATCGGACGTCTCCAGTGCTTCTGTGCGACCACCTGAACTATCTGAGGTCAGACCGATCTAGCATTAACACAATTATTGCACTGGATTCCTGCTTCTATCAATGGGCGGCAATTATAAATAAAGCAGTAATGTCAGAGTGAGATGAGCATCGAGGGAAAGAGTCCTGCTTCACCACTGCTGCCAACTGAAGTCATCGTTCGAGCCGAACACCAGGAAGAAGCCCAGGATGGTGGCGAAGATCACGATGTTTCCCGCCAGCACCAGAGCACAGGCTCCCCAGGCCATCTGCGGACAGCAGATATATTCAGTCAGCCGTCTGGAAATCAATCTGATCACGTTTAATAAGACACCGTGGCATCAAATCAGTCCTGCTCTTACTGCGCTCAGATCATCAGAGATCAGGATGAGTTTGTTTCTTCATCAGATTTGTAGAAATGTAGGCACTTTTTCATTTTTGTGGCGACTGGTCTGTGCTGCACCTGATATATCAAAACGAATCAATATAGAATTGAATCAAGAGCTGTAATCAAAACGTGTATCAATAACCAGCTATTTTTGTCATCATCCGAATCTCCCGACATTGACTCCGGCTGATCTGCAGCTTCACGGTGAACCGTGGTCATGTTGACTTTTGATATTTACCACGTGAGCGCGGGCGAATATGACGGGCAGCCCGAAGGCGGACACCACGATGCCTGTGGTCAGGAATATGGCCAGCTCTTTGCAGGCGTTGCTGGCCGAGTCCGTGTCGTCCAGCACGCGGCGAGAGATGCAGTATGGGATAGGTGCCAGGATGTAGAAGAAGAGCAGGAACAGAGGCCAGTACGCACTGCACACAGACACAGCGTCAGCAGACGCTCCGCACACACACACAGAGAGAGACAGGAGAGAGAGACACTCACTTATAGACGGGCAGAGCGCAGCCCAGCATGAGGAACATCAGACCGATCGCGCCACCAAACGACAGGCTGATCAGAGCTGAAACACAACACACTTCACTGATAACTAATGCATAACGTCTGGGATCCGTACGGTTTATAATGTGTCTCTTCTGCTCAAGGCTGCATTTATTTCATCAGAAATACAGACAAAAACTGTAATATTATTGCCATTTAAAATAATGCTTTTCTAAGTGTTAAAGTGTAATGTATTTCTGTGATGTGCAGCTGTATTTTCAGCTCTGTTAAACTGTAATTTATTTCTGTGATCAAAGCTGTATTTTCAGCATCATTACTCCAGTCTTCAGTGTCACATGATCTTCAGAAATCATTCTAATATGCTGATTTATCATCGAGAAACATTTCTAATTATTATCAATGTTGAATACAGCTGAGTAGATTTTCTTCAGGTTTCTTTGATGAATAGAAAGATCAGCATTTATCTGAAATAATAAGCTTTTGTAACAAATTTTCATTAAAGTCTGTAGGCTAATTGAGGCAAATCATGTCATTTACATTCACAGTGTTGCTATTATGACATATCGTAAATTAAAATATGGGCAAGTACATGTGTAAATATTCTTATGCACATATATAAGTCATATAATTGATCTCTTTAGTCATCAGTTATTCAATTATTCAACTAAACTGTCAAAATACAGTTTTGCAAAATGCATTACACAATACATTTAGTAAAAGCTCAGCCAAACAAAGGGCTAAATAACCAAATATTTCTATTTATGTCCTTTGATAACACATTAGCTGATGCATCATCATCATCACATGCTAAACTCATAGCCAAATATTGTTATATTTAACATTATTGCACATTTTCCTATATACACATACATACATCAAACATATATATATATATATATATGAAATAATGTAAAATTGGTAAATTCCTTGATATTCCCAATTTGAAATATCAGCCCTGTTATGTCGTCTGATTATGAATTTGCTCAGATTCATAATGATAATATTCAGAAAGATTCTCTACAGATGAAAAACAGACTCATGTGATGATCAGATGATCCGCTCACAACTCAACATCATTTACAATACGCACACAAAACACTGTGTGTATATATATATATACGCGTATTTACTTTTATAAAGGGTGTTCTCCGTGTTAATCTCTATACGAAATCAGAACATATATGAAGAGATAAATAGCTAGACTGAGAGTTATATATATATCTGTGTTTCTGAGAGCTGTATTTATATTTTAGACACAAACAGAGCTGATGTGTGTGTGTTTGTGTAAATCTGCGGCCGCTATTAAACACTAGACCGCTTCCGCCTCATTACACACACACACACACTCTCACACACACACACAGGTAAAGCCGCTCACCTTTGATTCCCGCCATTGCGCAGATTCATAAACACTATAATTAATAGGTTGAATAATTAAAGCTAAAGAAACTCCTCGCGCTTCCGCTCCGCCGCACCGCTAGCGCTGCCGTCCACACTGCGCATGCGCCGCGAGACCACTTCCGGTGACCGCAAAACATCACAGACGAACAAGAGTGTAACAAACAATATGCAATACATCAAAATGAACAACGGATAGACTTTATCCACATATCACATTAAATAAATGTGTTAAACAAAGACCGATGAAATATCACATTACCGAACGAACGCATATCGTAGATTTTTTTTCACCGTTTAAATTAATTATTTTTTATTATATTTTCCCCGTGTTAAATTATTCTTTGTTTTTGAGATGGAAACGTTTTCTAAATCCTTTTTATTTAAATAGTCAAACAAAAAATCTCTTGTAGCTGATTGGTCCGAAGTCTCTATCTCTCAGGCAGCTTTGTTGTCATAAACATAAATATAACAATGGCACACCATTAATATTTATATATATATATACCACATATGGCGTGTTATGTTCATAAATGATTAATGATGTTCTAAAAACGAGTAATCATCGTCTGTTTTCTGCGTAACACAGCGCGCCCTGCTGGACGAACCGGAAACCACCTTCTGCAGCTTCCGCGGTACTTTTTTTGTTTTCGGTGTCACCGGAAATGGTGTCCGTTTGTGTGTCGCGGCGCTGCGGAAGGTTCCGCGTTGAGATGGCAGCACTCTGGAATATTTTCCTGAAAACGTTTTAATTGATATTTTATCTTATTTAAATGTGCGAGAACTCGTGCGAAACTCCAGGTACGCTGTCGCGTCGCGCACGACTGCCACAATGCACCCGTAGTAGTTACACGCGAGGCTAATTCAGTCAGTAAGTGTGTTTTTATCAAGTGAAATGTTTTATAAGATTCATTTAGTGAACGATGATCACGTGTAAACATTAATTCCGCGTGATTTACGGAGTCAGATACGAGAGATTGAGCAGATTCGGTGATACAGACGGAGATCCGGCGACCGGAAGTCATCAAACACACACATAAACAAACAAAAGCGCGTGGTTTTTATAAACTCATAAGTGTGTGTTTATGAATATGATGCGTGTCTGGTGAAGGATCAGAGACTCTGCTGTTGATCTCTCCACATGGAAAGGGGTAGAGTTTTACTCCGACTTTTACCCTGATTTTACCTGTAAAGCGCCGTTTAACTGCTTAGGGGACTTCAGGATACTAAATAATATTAATCTCTAAATTATCCGCAATTTATTTCTACATAATTACCTTTATTTTATATAAATGTATTATAAACAACTGCATATTAATATAAACTTATTTAGTGCTGTCAAGCGATTAATCGCATCCAAAATAAAAGTTTTTGTTTACATAATATATGTGTTTGTACTCTGTGTGTGTATATATATATATAAATACACATATATTTTGAAAATATTTACATGTATATATTTATATTCATATCATTTCTATTATACTATTCATTTTCATGTCAAGTGTTCAAAAGATAACATCCGCTCTATTTTTGGAGAAAAAAGGTCTAAAAGTGTTTTGAATATAAAGAAAAAACAATAGATTCTCTATTTTGATGCAGCGTGAGCTGTAACACAGGTCTAAGGTTCTCGTCGCATGTCTTTTATGTGTTTTTTAGAGGTCATACTGCCATTAATACTTCTGAATGTGATGTTTACCTCATAATTATTGAGAAAAGTGTGGAAAACGTGTTTCAGATCACTCAAACCGTATGGAAATGGATTTGCCTTTATGTGGTTACTAATGGGGTTTGATATAATTCAGCCATAATGTTTCTCTCCATGAAAATAGCCACAGAAGCTGGAATGGTGTTAAACACAAACAAACAAACTAATAGGGTTTAATGGCCATCTAGTGGAAAAGCTTGGTACTGCATCCAAACAAAATCTCACTGAAAGCTCATATTTGGAGATATCAACCTCAAATTTGGAACACAACTTGTTGTTTTGATTTTCTTGCAGTTTTAGAGTAAAACATGTTTTCTAAAATATATATTTTATATAAAATATAAATATTTAAATTTGTAAATTTTGTATTTTCATAAACGTAAACTTCCATATCTTTTTTGTGATATAATTTTTAATAACTTTTTCCACATCTACAACAATCTGCCAAGTGTCTTCTTTAAAAAGAGACCGACCTTAAGTTTGTGCTCCAAAAGCATTCAAAATTTTAAAACAGTTTAAGTTGGAAATGTCATTATGCTCAAAAAGTGGAACCGACAGTTAACAGCTTAAAGAGACAGTTCACCCAAAAATGAAAATTCTGTCATTAATTACTCACCCTCATGTCGTTCCCCCGTTCATCTTCAGAACACAAATTAAGATATTTTTGATGAAGTCCCGACAGCTCTCTGACCCTCCACAGACAGCAAGCATCCTAACACCATCAAGGCGAGTAATTAATGACAGAATTTTCATTTTTGGGTGAACTGTCCCTTTAAGACTAAAATTGAAACACTACTGCAGGTACTATCTTTTGTATCATTAGAAATGTCTTTACTGTCACTTTTTAACAATTGAATGCATCCTTGATAATTAAGTGTTGATTTCTTTAAAAAAAACAAAAAACATACTGACCCCAAACTTTTGAATGGTAGTGTGTCACAGTTTCTCCCTAAAAATCAGCTTTGCACCACAGGAATAAATTACAGTTTATCATATATTCATATAGAAAGCAGATATTTTACATAGTAATAATATTAGAGTGTTTTCTGCTCGTTCCTGAGGGGTTCTTCATCTGAGCTCAGATGTCAGAGAATCAGCTGGAGAAATATACTGATTTGTAGATGCTTTTCTGTGTTTTTATAAAGGAATGAGACATGAATTTGCAAGTCTGTGTTATATCAGTCTAAACTTGTCTTTGTATTTTTATGCTTTTTTTTTTTGCATATTTATTTGCATTGTTATGGACTTTTCTACAAGGAGTTTGATGCAAAGCAGATGTACACATGTTTATGGAAGCACATTTACACCACATAAGAAAAATCATGCTGCAGTAAATCATAATTATGACATGAAATATTTAAATGATAAGATTGCAAGTTATTATTTACAAGACAAGTTCTTGAAATTGTCCAAAAAAAAGGCTAAATTATGAGATTACAAAGTCATTGTGACATAAAAGTCATAATTTTATGGCATAATTACAACTTTTTCATAATTTTGACTTTATCTTATAACTATGACTTTTTATTTCATAATAATTCATAAACTTTTTGTCACAATTTCATGACATAAATGACTTTAATCTCAAAATTGAGTTGTTGCCTCATGATTTCTACTTTGATGTCATACTCATGACTTTTTATGACATAATTTCAGCTTTTTATGTCAGATTTCCAATTTAACTAATTTAAAAACTTTTTTTTAAAGTTTATTTTTCATTATGTTATCATGGTTTTATTGAAACTAAAACATTTTTTGTTCTCTTATACAATAACAGCAATATGCATAATTGTATGTAGAGTACATTTTTAAATATACTGTAAATATATTTTAATTGTTGATTAAGTCATATGATTAGAAAATATTTTTATTTAAAGTTTTTTTATTGTTATCATGGTTTTATTGTGTTAGCTGTATTTTTTTTGTTGTTTATTTTTTAACCTAATCAAAATAACCCAACTACAGTTTGATTGAGATTAATTGGAATGCATGATGAAAAACATGATTTTTGAAAATTGTTAAAATCTGTTTATCTGTTTTTGCAAACGAACTCTTCATATCTTTATCGTTGTTGTTGTTCCCTATAAAATGGTCCAATTCAAAGCGCATGCGCGAATCTCTGTGGCGGGGCCAGAATGATTGGCACATCACTGGCCCAATGAGCGTTCGTGTCAATGGGCCAATCAGCGGGGAGTTTGGAGCGTCTCGGCCAATAGAAATGCAGCTGGTTTTCATTTTAAATTCAGGCGGTTGAAAGAGCGAAACGGAAGAGCAGAAACACAGACACAAGAACCTAATAATCATCATGCAGGTATAATAAACTATTATTAATCATCTCATTTAAACGTATGCGCGTATATATGTGTGTTTAGAAGATGTTAGTATTGCGGGGTGATTAGTGAATATCAAATTAAAGTCTTTAATGTCATTGTCCAGATACGAGACCGAGTGCTAAATCCACTTAGCAGACGTTAGCTATAATGTATTGAGATGTTTTTTTATATATATACTTGTTTTGGTTACCCATCTGAGAGCTGTTTTGTGTTTTATTGATGCAAGTGCTTTATTCATCAGTGTGTGATGAGTTTGAGACGTGTTTGTGTTTTATCAGAATAAAGAGAACAGGGAACCCAGAGCTCTGCAAACTCAGGTGAAGCTAGCGTTAGCGTCTCATTTCTGTTTCGTTCACTACAGAGAGTCCTAGTGTGCTTCACAGGGATCATCTGTGTGTCTGAAGGTCTTTGTGTGTGTTTGTGCTTCAGGTGGCTGCTGTTGGTCCTCTCAGGGTCGGTGTGAATCCAGACTCACACGCTGTTACAGGTAACACCTCTGGAACAACAAACAAACACTCTTTATAAACGAGTTGTTTAGTAACATACAGAGCTGGGTAACGTTAGGTTACTTGAATTGTAATCCGTTACTGATTCCAAATTACATGACAAAAAATGTAATTAGTTACGTAATCCATTACATTACACAATTTAGGCAATATAATCAGATTACTTTTGAGCTATCTTGTTTATCGCATTGATTTAAACAGGATAATCTTGTACCATATTGATATAAAAATACAAAGAGTAAGAAAATATATTCAGTTTGTGGTTATTAACAACATGAAGTGCATTAAATATTACGTCAAGGTTTCCCAAACTGAGTTTGTGAAGGAACTGCAGGGGGTTTGTGAGTTTAATGAAAAGCTAATAATTAATTAAATCATAAAAACATGTTAAATTAAAACAAATCATAAAATAATGAATCAAAATAAAACACTTACTGAAAAATGTAAATATTGTATTTGTTTACCTGCATGTCATGTGACCATAACCATCGTCAGAGAACCATGAACATACAAATGTGATACTACTTTATTAAAATCTTTATTTTAAAATCTCAGGGTACTTCAAATAAACACATTAGTTGAAAGAGGTTCAGATGAAAAGAAAACGTTGGTGAATTTGTGCATTTTAATGTGTTAAACGCCTTCCAAAGTAATACATGCTAAAATAACTGCCTGGGTGATAATTCAAATAAAAATTAATGTTCATCAGTAGTTGATGCAGTATTGAAACACTTCTTAAACCTGGACTGATTTTTGTAAATCCAGTGATCAAATGCAGTGTAGACACCAGACTAATGACTGATCTCTGTGTGAATGTCCACAGAACTAAGACTTTCTGAGATATCTTTATCGTTGTTGTTGTTCCCTATAAAATGGTCCAATTCAAAGCGCATGCGCGAATCTCTGTGGCGGGGCCAGAATGATTGGCACATCACTGGCCCAATGAGCGTTCGTGTCAATGGGCCAATCAGCGGGGAGTTTGGAGCGTCTCGGCCAATAGAAATGCAGCTGGTTTTCATTTTAAATTCAGGCGGTTGAAAGAGCGAAACGGAAGAGCAGAAACACAGACACAAGAACCTAATAATCATCATGCAGGTATAATAAACTATTATTAATCATCTCATTTAAACGTATGCGCGTATATATGTGTGTTTAGAAGATGTTAGTATTGCGGGGTGATTAGTGAATATCAAATTAAAGTCTTTAATGTCATTGTCCAGATACGAGACCGAGTGCTAAATCCACTTAGCAGACGTTAGCTATAATGTATTGAGATGTTTTTTTATATATATACTTGTTTTGGTTACCCATCTGAGAGCTGTTTTGTGTTTTATTGATGCAAGTGCTTTATTCATCAGTGTGTGATGAGTTTGAGACGTGTTTGTGTTTTATCAGAATAAAGAGAACAGGGAACCCAGAGCTCTGCAAACTCAGGTGAAGCTAGCGTTAGCGTCTCATTTCTGTTTCGTTCACTACAGAGAGTCCTAGTGTGCTTCACAGGGATCATCTGTGTGTCTGAAGGTCTTTGTGTGTGTTTGTGCTTCAGGTGGCTGCTGTTGGTCCTCTCAGGGTCGGTGTGAATCCAGACTCACACGCTGTTACAGGTAACACCTCTGGAACAACAAACAAACACTCTTTATAAACGAGTTGTTTAGTAACATACAGAGCTGGGTAACGTTAGGTTACTTGAATTGTAATCCGTTACTGATTCCAAATTACATGACAAAAAATGTAATTAGTTACGTAATCCATTACATTACACAATTTAGGCAATATAATCAGATTACTTTTGAGCTATCTTGTTTATCGCATTGATTTAAACAGGATAATCTTGTACCATATTGATATAAAAATACAAAGAGTAAGAAAATATATTCAGTTTGTGGTTATTAACAACATGAAGTGCATTAAATATTACGTCAAGGTTTCCCAAACTGAGTTTGTGAAGGAACTGCAGGGGGTTTGTGAGTTTAATGAAAAGCTAATAATTAATTAAATCATAAAAACATGTTAAATTAAAACAAATCATAAAATAATGAATCAAAATAAAACACTTACTGAAAAATGTAAATATTGTATTTGTTTACCTGCATGTCATGTGACCATAACCATCGTCAGAGAACCATGAACATACAAATGTGATACTACTTTATTAAAATCTTTATTTTAAAATCTCAGGGTACTTCAGATAAACACATTAGGTGAAAGAGGTTCAGATGAAAAGAAAACGTTGGTGAATTTGTGCATTTTAATGTGTTAAACGCCTTCCAAAGTAATACATGCTAAAATAACTGCCTGGGTGATAATTCAAATAAAAATTAATGTTCATCAGTAGTTGATGCAGTATTGAAACACTTCTTAAACCTGGACTGATTTTTGTAAATCCAGTGATCAAATGCAGTGTAGACACCGGACTAATGACTGATCTCTGTGTGAATGTCCACAGAACTAAGACTTTCTGAGAGTGTATAAGCAGTAGGCCAATTTAAGAGATGGAAGACGAATTAGGGAGAATCAATAAATTATGAATAAGTTATTGCTGTTGTGTAAATACGTCATCCATAAAAAAAGTAACTGTAGTCTGATTACGAGTATTTTAAAATGTATTTTACTCTAATTACAAGTACTTAGAGGCGTTTTGTTGTCTGGCCATTGAACTCTTAGTGCACTAGATTATATATGCGATCTCGCTGCTAATAGACACCTGCTGTAACTCCATTTGTTGCATGTTTTTCTTTAAATGATGCTGCGATTGGTTGATTTTGAATTGTAGTCCGTTACTGATTCCAAATTACATGACAAAATGTAATTAGTTACATAATCCATTACATTACACAATTTAGGCAATATAATCAGATTACTTTTGAGCTATCTTGTTTATCGCATTGATTTAAACAGGATAATCTTGTACCATATTGATATAAAAATACAAAGAGTAAGAAAATATATTCAGTTTGTGGTTATTAACAACATGAAGTGCATTAAATATTACGTCAAGGTTTCCCAAACTGAGTTTGTGAAGGAACTGCAGGGGGTTTGTGAGTTTAATGAAAAGCTAATAATTAATTAAATCATAAAAACATGTTAAATTAAAACAAATCATAAAATAATGAATCAAAATAAAACACTTACTGAAAAATGTAAATATTGTATTTGTTTACCTGCATGTCATGTGACCATAACCATCGTCAGAGAACCATGAACATACAAATGTGATACTACTTTATTAAAATCTTTATTTTAAAATCTCAGGGTACTTCAAATAAACACATTAGTTGAAAGAGGTTCAGATGAAAAGAAAACGTTGGTGAATTTGTGCATTTTAATGTGTTAAACGCCTTCCAAAGTAATACATGCTAAAATAACTGCCTGGGTGATAATTCAAATAAAAATTAATGTTCATCAGTAGTTGATGCAGTATTGAAACACTTCTTAAACCTGGACTGATTTTTGTAAATCCAGTGATCGGCATTTTAACGAGTACGAGTACAGGAGGCCAGTATCGGGCCCGATACCGATACCAGTATCGGTATCGGTGCATCCCTACTAATTACAAGTACTTAGAGGCGTTTTGTTGTCTGGCCATTGAACTCTTAGTGCACTAGATTATATATGCGATCTCGCTGCTAATAGACACCTGCTGTAACTCCATTTGTTGCATGTTTTTCTTTAAATGATGCTGCGATTGGTTGATTCGGTCTCTGGTCTTCTTTCAGGTCCTGGGAGAGTTCCTGTGAAGTCAAACACAAAGTGAGTTCACTTTAAATCTGTTGTAAGGATCTAATTTTAGGTTTTATTCCTGCTGAAGGTCGTGTGAATCCAGAATTGGAAGTGTGAATGTGTTAAACGGCACAAAGTGATGTTCATCCTCAGGATTATTGTCTTGTTTTCCAGTACAAATATCTCTAAGTTCAGTAATTAAATAAATGGTTAAATCAAGAGGCATTGACTTGAGGTTCACAATAACATAAGAGAAATTCCTCAATTAATTTAAATTGCCAATGTGGTCAGAACTAAAGTGATTTTAGTTGGTTTCTGATCCTGTTGGCAGATTTTTTATTTAATCAAACTCAATTTTGAAAATATCTTATGCCATTTTTGTCAGTAAATGTGTCTTGATTTAAGGAAGAACACGTCGTTCTCTTTCATCAGGAAGTTCTCAATCAAAGACTTCGACATCGGCCGTCCGCTCGGGAAGGGCAAGTTCGGTAACGTGTATCTGGCGCGCGAGCAGAAGCTGAAGGTGATCGTGGCTCTGAAGGTGCTCTTCAAGTCTCAGATGGAGAAGGAAAGTGTGGAGCATCAGCTGCGGAGAGAGATCGAGATCCAGTCTCACCTCAGGTGTGTTCCGGCTGCTTCTCCTTCCTTCAGACGCTCTTCATGACCCTGCAGGAGCTAAAACCGTCTCTTTCCAGTAGAGCTGCAACAAATCACTAGTTTGGTAATTGATTAGGAATGCACCGAAATAAATTCTTGGCCGAAACTGAACCAAATGAAACACTGAGCCGAATACCGTTTTTTGCCAACTTTTTTCATTGCATAAATTAAATAGCCAAAATGTGCTTTTTACTGTTTTGTCACAAATATACTACTGTACGACTTAAGACTGCTTTTGTGCTGCAGGGTCACATTTGTGCTGTAAAACAATACAGAAATCATGTTGTGGTTACATTTTCAACTTGACTAGTTAAAACGTCAACAGTCAAACGTTCAGAATAAAATTGTTGACTAATCGTTTCGGCCCTACTTTCCAGGCATCCCAACATCCTGCGCTTCTACAACTACTTCCAGGACAACACGCGTGTGTTTCTGATCCTGGAGTACGCGCCGCGAGGAGAGATGTACAAAGAGCTGCAGCGCTGCGGACGCTTCGACGAGCAGCGCTCTGCCACCGTGAGTCACCATTAATCCTTAAGAGATCGCCGTCTCCATTCAGACACGCACGCCATCTCATTTCTTCATGACAGCGATTCCTCTGTGTCTATTAAACCTTTGAAAAACTCTTATCGGATCATTCAAATCTGCCTTGAGCAGTTACCGTGTTTAGGTAAGATTCTTCCCCATAGGAAACCACAAACAGTCTTTTCAACTACACAGTATTATTTCTGTCTTACAGTCATTCATATTATCACAGAAATACTGGGATGAAAGTTTATAGTTCAGATGTTAATATTGATGTCCATGGTCACGATCAAAATAGTGCAAATCCCCTTTTGAAAGTAACTACGCTTCAAATAACGTTTGTTGATTGCATTGTTTCTCCACTAGATGGAGACAAGGGACTGTTAAAAATGTGTTTGTCATTGAATCATTCATTCAAGAGATTTGTTCAAAAACGCTGATTCATCCAGTTATGAAACAAGTGAAGTATTTATGAGTGAGTCACTGAATCATTCATTCAAGAGATTTGTTCAAAAACGCTGATTCATCCAGTTATGAAACAAGTGAAGTATTTGTCATTGAGTCATTGAATCATTAATTCATTCAAACCACTTTTTCATAATTTTAATATTAAAAATTAGTGTATTAAATGCATATATTAGATTATATATAAAAAAAAATTAATTAATTCAAATTAGGGCTGCAAAACAATTAGTCGTGATTAATAGATTCAAAATAAGTTTGTTTACATACTGTATGTGTGTACTGTGTATATTATGTATTTATATATGTACACGCACATACGTGTGTGTGTATATATTAAGGAAAAATGTACATACAAATATTTGTAAAGTGTGTGTGTATTTATATATACATAATAAATATACACCGTACACACACATAGTATGTAAACAAACTTTTATTTTGAATCGAGTAATCGCGATTAATCGTTTTGCAGCCCTATTTCAAATTAAATGCTTCTAAATAGACTCCAGAAATTGATATTTTGTCACACATTATTTTAGTTCAGAATCGTGGGAGAATTGTGATCTCTATTTGAGACAAAAAAAATAGTGATTTCTCAATTTATTCAGGTTTTTATTGTATTTGTTGTACTTGTATTTTTTTTTTAATAGTTTTTGCCTTGAAAATAGCCTGAGATTCTGACATGGCGTTAAATAAAAAT